ATTATTATTTCAATGGAAATTAAGCTGCAGGATTAGAAGAAAAGTACTAGTAGCAAAAATGGATCTATCCCAAAGTCCAATCTTGCAGACCTATTGGGACTGACCCTTGGGCTGCTCATTATTTGCCATGAACTTGCTTAGTCAGACCACTTGGGAGAAGAAAGATACTCATGGACAGCTGTGACCAAGTAAACAGAAGCAGTGGAATGAGCCAGCAGGAATCTCATGAAGAGGAAGAATATGAAAAAACAGTTGCTTTATGAAAAATATGGAGGCACAGGGCCGGGCGGGGGAGAATGCAATGCCAAGAACAAATATCTGAACAAATAAATTTTTCTAGAATTTGTGTTGTTCAGCCAACTTAATGCTTACTACAACACTGTCTTCCGAACGTCTAATTTCCCAAGCCATTCTACGTGCTGATTTCTTCTTGCCTCAAAGAGTTGCTTTCTCCGTTTCCACCTGTCCTGATTCTACCCTCAGTGTGAGGCTGAGCCCACCTTTCCTGCTTTATTTCTTCACTTTCTTATCAAGTTGCTCAGACTGGCTACTCCTTTTTGCTATTCAACAGATGATGTAGGGCAACATACCATACCCAATATTGGGTACCTACTATTTTCCCCAAAGATTTGGCAGTGAGAAGAATAAGAAAATGGTAGCATACTTGTTTTTTTCTTTTCTTTTTTTTTTAGCTACTATGCTATTATTATTTCAATTGCAAGCAATAAACACATGTTGACACAGTTATTTCTAGTCTTCCATTTTATTCTGATTGTACTATGTGTTCATTGGCTGAGTGAAGATCTTGTCTCTTCCTTGTATAAACCTCTCCACCCTACATTATTCACAATGTTGGAGGTTGACAAAATATACTTGATGCTTTTTCAATTAGATTGAAACTTCAAACATTCTTATTGAAATCCTCCTAGTACTATATGAAAACTATTGTGTAGCTCAAGATAAACTATAGTCTATCTTTATTTTAAAGTATTTTGTTTTTAAAAAGTAAGTTCTACAGAAAAGGAGTGGATCTCTAAGAAATTAATTTGAAAACCAAGTGGAAGACAAAGTAATTTCTCACTATCATCAGTTTCAACTATAACAAGGATAAGCCTTTTTGAAGAAATTAATTGACCCTCCTTTTATTCAGCCAGAGGCATCTGTTATCTCAGGAAGGACTTGGATTATTAAAACAGGAATACAAAGAGGGAAAAAGAGTTATTGTTCATGTTTTTTATTTAATCATCAGTGTGTAGTGAGACAAAAATCTTGTGAATCGAGATTTGTGGTAACTGAAAGGATGTTTCTAAGTTCTAGGAGCTATTTATGTATACAAATTAAGTCTTGGAGGAATGAAAATAGGCTTCAGTGTAGAGCAGAAAAGAACTAGATGTGAGGAAATCGCAACTTAAACCAAAAGCAAGACAAAGATACAGTCCTGAGAGTGGTTCTGAGAGAATTCAAGGGAGGGGAAGTAAGAATTCAAATTGAATGTCCTGGCTTTTCCCTTAGGAAAATGCAAAAGGTAAAAGGGAAGGAAGTTAGGTTTGAAACACCCAGGTCTGGGAGAAAAAAAAATTATTCTCAGTACTTAATGTTTCAGGCTGCAGCTCAGAAAAATTATAGTCTCTGGAAAAAAGCAAAAAAAAAAAAATTTCAGAGGCTACATTATGCCACTTATGTTATTTTTTTTTAGAAATTGTTGGCCTGTATTTAATCAAAAAGAGGGACTAAGAAGAACCTTCACATGTAGTTCACATCAACCCTGGGGCAACTGAAAGGTCAGGATGACCTATTATGGCAGAGAAAAGGTGGGTATGGAAGAGATCTGTAAGTCACCTTATGAATCTAGGAGGCTCAAGCAACTGGTTGAACTACCATGCAACAGACCTTCAATGGGACCACCATGGTGAGGCTAAGAGCAGATGAAAGGCAGCTGACCAGAGGTTCTGCAGAGACCATAAGAGCTGAGATAAGGCAGTGAAGACTGAGCAGGACATTTCCTTGAAATTCGCCAGACATATATGAGCAATGGCATTATGTCCATCCCTCCAACCACTCAAAAAGAAAGCAGTACCAGCAACAATTCAGTGGCACTAGAGCCAGATGCTAGTGACTAGAGAAGACCACGATGCTTTTGTCAGATCATAGACCAGCAAAAATGATATGGACAGCATGCAGACCTCCTTCCTCTTTGCAAGGATACAGAATTCTTTCCATGAACCCAGACACTACCTTGAGAAATAGGAAAGAAAGGAGAGAAATATCACGAAGAAGCAGCTAGACTATGAATTAATTGGTATTTACCCAAAACACTTTGTTTTAAATGCAGAAGTTTGGGATTATTTATTTGAATGCTTAGACTGATAATGGAAAGTAAGTATTAAACTTTTTTTTTTCTTTTTGCACTGGTTGACTTACAGTCCACAGATTTTGATATCCAAACTAACAGGGGAGGAACAAAAATGTTGGAAAATATGATTTGTTGAGATCGTTTTTTAGGTTGCCATGATATCTATCTGTCATTTATAATCTTGCAGTGAAAGGTAGTAAAAACAAATAAATGAAAAGAAAGCCATGTTTCCTTTGCATGACACAGTAAAGAGAGAAACTTCCAGGAAACTGAGTACAGTCCAAAGAATTCTCAGCATCTCAAGCATCACTTATAAGTAGAATAAGTTTATTTTCTAAAAAAAAAAGGAGGTTTAAGTAGTAGATTAAAGTAAATTTTATTGACAAAAAATAATACGTGTCTAGAGAGTTGTGCTCATTTAAATAAATCTTGCTTTAAAATTGATTATTTTAAGACTATGGAAATGCTAAAATTTATCATTGTATTTGTATTACTCTTTTAACAAATGTTTTATCTTAACAGGAAAAAGTTAATGGGACAAAAACACACTGTATGAAATTCAGAAGTTTCTGACTATACACTCTGTTTAATGGACTCATATTCATCAGCCAGAGATGTCACCAACACCTGTTGGTGGTCACTTAGAGGGGAGATGCCATTTCCAGGATGATTCACAAAGTTGTTAGGTGACAACAAATATCATATAGTAAAGACATGATTTTGTAAGTAATTTATGTAGGATATTCTGGTTATTGTAGATGTTAAAGAATCTTGTCAAATTTGAAGGACTTTTTTAAATTATGAAAATAAAACATTACCTGAAATTACTTCTTGCTGACAGAATTATTTTGATTTATTGAAAACAAAATTTTGGTGCAGGCAGTGAAAAAATGTATATCTATGTTACATTGT